TGCAAACGTCAGCTATGACATCTTTAAGAAAGCATTTTGATCTTTATCATTTCAAATATCATCCATGTAAAAGTTTAAATAAGAGACAATATTTTTTTTTATAAAACATCCCTTTAGTGTTACGTGGTAATACGTTTTCAAGCGGCTACTCTGAGCAGAGATGTTAGAATGTTAAACTGAAGTAAAAACTGGCCATTTTAATAAAAGATCGACGTTCTTGTTTCTTTGATTCATTCATTTCAGACTCTTTCCACTAGCTGGAGGACTTTGAGAAACTACTAGCCTCAGCAGTGTTGGGGAGAAAGAGCCAGCTAAAATACAGGCTATCACTTATATCGCTTTTATCATTTCAAGAATATATTTATTTATGTTTTGATAAGATACAGTTTTAAGATTAACATTTAAGAGAAGACAAGTTATTTTTCACGGTTTCCTGGATGGGCCTCTAACTGTACATGGACCCCTGGGAACATGCCTTGAATGCCTACAGGATCATTTACGCAGGCTCTGGCCCGCAGGAAGTCTCCTATGAACTAAAATGAGTTTGACCCCCCTGTTCTAGTCCACAGACAGTGGATAGTGAGCTGCAGTGCAAAGCTTCAGCCACCAGAGTGCAGGATGCACCGCAGATTTGAGGAAACTCTTTGTCGTTAAAGATTTCTCCGGTCATTTTAAGTCAGCTGAAGCCTTCAAATTCAAACCTCATGTAAATAAATAAATGAATAAATAAAAACTGAGGAACAAACTTTCCCGAGTCACCGAGCCGGGGACTGCAGTGTGCTCACATGGCTCACGATCCTAATTTGAAGATACTTTAAATGTGCCTCTTCGCTATTACTCCATTTCACAGGAGCTTAAACTTTGACCCCCGATAGCTTTCCCTGCAGTCTGTCTCGTGTTTTGGTCAAGCGGTCGCCATGGTGACCCATTCCCACGACAGCCACGTAACCGGAGCTGCCAGGCAGGTAGAGCAGGTAACCGTGGCAAGCAATTCAAGGCAGCAGGTGTGTGTGAGAGAAGGCAGAGCCAGAGGGGGAGAACAGAAAAACAGCAAGAAGAAACGGAGACTAACAAAACCCGGAAAGATCAACACACATTCACGACTCTGTGAGATAATCAAAGAAAGGAATAAAAGTGGAGGACGAAAAGCAAACTCAGGCCATGGAGGCCACAGTGGACGAGGATGATGGGACGTTCACTAACATCTCTCTGGCAGACGATACAGGTAATCCACTTCTTCAGATTTAGCCCTAACCTGTCCTTTATTTCTATTTGCACAAACAGCTTTTAGCCTGCAGCCAGTCGACCGGATTGTAAACGTCGGTCTGTCAGTCACAGTTTTACACAGATAGTCGCCTCAAGACTAAGACAGGAGCTAACCCCCCCTCTATCAAACTGATTCCAGTTTCCAGCTTTATGTTTTAAAACTAAAAAGTACTTTAAAAAACAGCTTATTGTTCAAAAGCATGCGCTCTTTGGGTTACAGGCGAGGTTATGTTCTGATTATTATTGTTATTCATTTATTTATATATTTACTTTACCTGGAGCAAACGGTCAGAGACCGTTGTTTTCAATGTTACAAGCATGTGACTGAACAAAGGGCAATAAGGTAGAAACAATACCACAGTGTTTATATGGGTGTGTGGCATTACTGGCTGGGGTGTGGCTCCTTTTTAATTCTCGGATTTCACACTCTCCGATTGTTACTAATCTTCACTATGTACACATGAATCTCAGACTATAATATTTTATTTAGAGTTGAAGTAAGTAGCTCGAGAACAGCATGTAAGCAAAGAGAAAAGAGTAGACGCCACAGACTGTAAATAAAGATGGCTGCAGTCACCTTCAGAATCACCAACAG